TCTACAGCTTGGAGTCAGTAGCCGAACTGCATTGCAACAACGCCAACGACCAAGAGAAGGTCACGTGACTCTATTTCCAGTGAGATACGGGGCAAGGCTGAGCGGCCTGGGAGCCCATTTACACTGTGGTGTTTTATTGCACACATTACATGATGCTGAACGCATGTGTCCAGGTTCCCTATAATAACAATAGGACCTGTTCTCATCTCAGCACTCACTATGACGCAGCGTGCGTTTTTCTCTGCATTTTAGTGCGTCGGGAGGCCGATAGAAGTCAATGGCAAAGCAGAAAAATCCATATTCAGCGCGTCAATACAACGTTCACTTTGATGGGTTGGAAGCCGTGGTCAATGACTGTTGGCTCCATCCAATCCAAACCCTAAATTCAAAACACATCAATGCATATTAATAATCCATGTCAACACACAAAGGAAACAAAAAAAATAACGCACTTCAACACACATGCATATATCTAAATGGGCCCTAAATCTTGGTGGGATGGTAGGAGAGGTCCTTGCACTGTGATGGAGCGTCGTCTGACCCCATGTGACCTAGTTAGCATTCCGCGAGATCTCGCCAAAACAGTGGTGACGCCACACCAGTAGGCGGGGCAGTATGGTAGCCGGGGGTAAGGGAAGTCCATCTATACTCATTTTATAAAGGCACAGTCCACCTTTTAGGTAATAAATGCACCGATGGGGGTAAAATAAATAAATGTGCATTCATTAAATGTACGCATTCAAGCCTGCAGAGCATTGCAACTGCGATCAGTGCGTTACAAGTGCAATGCTCAGGCTCCTGTAATATGAACCCCCAGCCCCCAGTCCTTATGGAGGTCCTTATGGTGGTAGGGACCTTCTATTATGGGGATGGAGGAGGTAATTGATGAGCTACAATGGCAATGCCATCAGCCCCCTGATGCCGGCGCTCTCTGCTGAGTCCCTCTGCTGCGGTGACAAATGGGGATCCATTGATGACAGTTGCAATGCTTCACAGACTCCAATGCCAAAATATAATCATTCATTGCACATTGTTACTTCTATGGATGTGTGCGCGTTTATTATTTCCTGTAAAAGGTGGACTTCCCCTTTAATCTTCCCAGAGCAGACTCCATGCACCTTGATTGGTTAGATGAGGCCCACAGATGTCAGTCGTTTCTGGCCACCTTTGCAGCCCTAATCGTATTGACATCACCTGCCAGCATATCAGTCTTTCTCCAATCGTCCTGAAGCCCCGCCCCCTCCCCAGACTATAAATCTCTGGTCAGGGGGTGGAGGCCAGTATTGGAAATGGTCTGCAAGATGTTGTATTCTAGGGCAGGATTTGGGTTGGTGCTTCTGCTTTGGAGCTGTGGTTTGTCATAAATGCTGTGTGATGCCGAAGGGCATTGGGATGGTTCCTCACATCTCCATTGTGCTCTGAACAACATGGAGCTGACCTTTCCTATGTCCGTTGAAGGTGTTTCTTATTCACTGACTGTGCTGGGTGAGTCATTATTACCTTTGCTTTCAATTTTTGTGGGTGAAGAGGTGAAAACTGCCTGGACTAGAGAGCTTCTTCATAGTAACTGGCCTTCCCCAGGGCATGGTGTGCGGGCGATCGTATGAAGCTTTAGCATTCTGAAGGGCATGAGGATGTGACACTGCTCATGTGTAATGGTCACAGCTTAGTTGTATTGAATAGTTTTAATAACTATCTAGGGCAGAGCTGTACTCTGGTTAGTTGAGTGTAAGACTAAGTTTAACCTGTTCTGTCTCTGAATGTAGGAAACATGTGTTCGGCGTATTAAATCTGCCCCTGGATGCACAAGCTAAGACTTCTCTAAATACAAGCACCCTGAATGTACCATAAATGTAGAAATCCTTACAGGTTCTGTCCATGAGAACGAGGCCTTGGGCTTGGTTCCCGCTATTGAATTGTGTGCATATTGACTGACCCCATGATGGTTGCATGCTGCAAGGGATGTATGTGAGAACCTGGTTACATTGATTACAGTGTGAGAGGGCACTTATGAGGTCTCTGTGGCTTAAAGCTTATGGAAGGTGTTTGCCATCTGTGGTAGGCATTTCCCCCCCACCTGATGGGCATCTAGGATTTGGGAATGAAAGCTTGAAGCTGATTTCCATGCAAAACTGCTCCCGTTGCCTCAGCGCTGGCTTACTCTTCAAATGGGGAAATGCAGCAAACTGAACACTATTTGGTCTGGTTTCTTCTTTGTATGTGGTCACTGCGCTTGAGATGTGGAGGCTGCTATGTGCATGGAGGAAGTTGCCAGGATATACTGATCCTCTGGCTTCATCTCTACTGATCTTTATACAGCCCAGGACAAGAAATAAAGTACAAACTCAATTCCAACTGTTAGTGGCTCGGTGTTGAAGCCAGGCAACTAGCATTTGCAGAATTAGGAGTTGGGGAAAGGGTCTCTTGAAGCATTGTGTGTGTGCTTTCAACTGTGGCTTACTGACCCTCTTTCATCCTGATAGACCCACAGCTCCCCAGTGTAGTTGCCGTTTCTGAGCCTGACGGAGGGGACCCTGCGTGGCCCCAAAAACCGCTGTTTTAGTGACTCGGTTATTCAATAGTAATGGTAATTCCAAATGAATTTTGGGGTGCTGGTGATGTCTACATATAGTTGTTGCTACTGAATCCCCCTTATCCGTAGTAGCCTGAGATGGTGAGTGGGCTACCAGGCGGTGTCTCCACAGGACTGATATTCTTTGGAGGATTTCTTGCTGGTCTATCAGTCTAAACCTCTCATATGTGACCACTCCGGTGTCATCTGCCTCCCATGTAATAGACTCCTATCTGACACTGCGTTGGCTGTTCCACAATGTAATGTGGCAGCACCTGAGACTTTTCAATCTGAGTTGTTGGTAGAAATCTCAACTTCAATATGTCTCCTGTTCAGATTTCCAGGATGAATTTCAGAGTCTTGCCAATGATTCTGCTTGCGGCCTCTCAGTAGTAAGGAGACCTGATGAGACAATGGTGGTTGGTGCTGCTTATGATGGATGCTACGTAAGAGAAGAGGTAAGACTGACTTCAGATTTTGATGCTGTCCTTGTCTTCATCACAATCATGTATATGGAGCTTTGATAGCACAGAACAGTCGCTTTTTTTGTGATCCTTTTAGGACTATCTACTACCGTGTTTCCCCGAAAATAAGACAGTGTCTTATTTTTTTTTTTGCACGAAATAAGACACTAGGTCTTATTTTCGGGGGATGTCTTACCTGGCTGCAGCTGTGCTCTGCCGTCCAGGGAGCCACAAACAGGTGGGCGGGCATGCGTGCGGCCGGGGGGGCGTGTCTGGCAGGGGGGCGGGAGGGAGCTGCCTCTCCGCTCGGAACTAAGGAGACGAGGGGGCGGGCATGCGTGCTGCTGGAGGGGGGGCGTGTCGGGTAGGGGGCGGGAGGGAGCTGCCTCTCCGCTCTGATGTCGTCATCCAGAGAGCAACAGCGTGCGGGTAGGTGGACGGGCGAGGGGGCGGGAGGGAGCTGCGGCCGGTCTTCACAGCTACCCCGGAAGTAAGATCTAGCGCTATCTTCGGGGATGTCTGTAATATAAGACCTACCCCGAACTAGGTCTTATTTTCGGGGTAGGTCTTATATTACAGACATCCCCGAAGATAGCGCTAGGTCTTATTTTCGGGGGATGTCTTACTTTCGGGAAACACGGTAGTAACTTATTCTTTGTGTGGCCAATACTTTAGTTTTGGAGAGGACTAAAATGCCTGAAAGTGTATTGCAGTCATTTGCCCCTCTTAGAATTCATGATCTTGCATTGTCCTGGTGACAAATCAATGGGGAAGATGATCCCTTACCAGAATTAGAGGTGATGAGGAAACAATCAAACTCCTGTTCTGGTTACAACTTCCTAAAGGAATCTCTCTTGGTAGAGACTTCCTCACTCCTGGTGTCTCTAGGGCAGGAACAGTTGGGAGATCCCAGCTCTACACACTAGACTATGAAGGTGCCTGTGCTGGCTATGACACTAGTATCTCCTGAGTCCTTGGTGAGCAGAGGTGGTCTTTAGGTATAGACCAGCAGGTTTTGGGAGAATGGGTTGAGACTCCAGAGGGGACTGTTACTGGCAGTGTTCTAAAACCACTTTCTTCTGATAGGATGGAGAGCACCTAATGGTCCTGCTTCTGGAAGTCATTGTGAATGGGACAGTTGCGCAATACAAGATGGAGAAGAAATGCCCAATACAGAACGGTAACAAGTGATCTTTCTTGTACTTGGGGAAACCTAATGTCCTATAAACCATGAGCACTATGTAGCTTGTCACTTCTTGGGGTGGTCACTAGGACAGAAGCTGAGGGGAGGCACAAAACCTGGTAACGTGTAATCCTTCTACTATAATCCAAGAGCTTTATTGGACTTTCCATGTACATTATGTAGACTTACTACATGATAACTTTCTCTTGTTTAGAAGCTATGGATGCCCCAAGCCCCGACATCTGCTCTGCTGTCAGCCAAGAGGACAAACTGGCCTGTGCTGGAACACCTGTAACCAGAGACATCTGTGATGCGCTGGGATGCTGCTACTCCCCAAATGATGCCAGAATGCCTTGTTTCTTTGGCAACATGTGTAAGTGGGATATTGCTTGGCCCAATAAAGGTGGGAGGGGGTCAGTATCGGCCTGTAGGGAGAGAACCTTTTGACACTCTGGCAGGCAAGGTTGGCAGAGCCTCAGCAATGGCTACATACATGCACTCAACACTTGCATTTTATGATGGGTGACTTGCAGTCCAGTCTGGAATGCGTTTGGCTGAACTATATAATTTAATGGGGTTTGCAATGGGTTACCTCAATGGTGACATAAACCAAAATGGTCTTGGCTTTTCTTGGGTCTTTTAGCCCTGTTGGTGACTAAACCATTCTTTACCTTTTTCCAGGCTCAGTATACAGCCCCACCAGTTCTAAGACCTGCTTATAGGGTCTTCTGAATTGTATAACTTTGTACTCTTCCCTGTAACTTAACATTACCACGCAGATGTGAGGTGACCTCATTCAGAAATTGGTGTTCACAATAAAGTATCTAGGTAAGACTTTCAGACCTGATCTTCATAGTGACAAACCATCTTTGTTTCCTACAGTGACCACACAGTGCGCAGTTGATAACAGCATGGTGATTGCAGTGTCCAGAGATCTGACCAGGCCATCCCTGCTTCTGGACTCGGTCTCTGTGATTGGTGTGGACCCGACCTCTTGTCCTGGGTTGTCAGTAGCTAGAAGTAACTCCTTTGCAGCATTCAAATTCCCATTATCCTGTAGTAATGCCGATCAGGTGGGTATTCCTGGTCCCAAGGTCTGGCCTTCACAGCACTAGGGCGACTAGCAGTACTCATTGCCTTTCATGCATAAAACAAGGGACTGAGATCTTGGCCCAAACCCTTGACTTGAAGCATTAGCGGATCTAATTCAAAACTACGACTGCTAGACATGTGCGTTTCGTTCCGAATCGAAATTCGGACGAATTTTCAGACATTCGGATGTTTCCGAATTACAGATATAACGAATGCAAACGAATCCGAATTTCCGTTTCCGAAATTTGGTAGCGGTAGTTCTTTCGAACGTTCGTTTAGTTTTCGTTTCTTATTCGTTTTGTTCGTTAAAGAAAAACTTTTTCCCCCCTCAAATGTCACTCTGCTGCGAATGAACGAAACGAATGGGAAACGAAAACGAAACTAACGTGCGAACGAACTAGCGCTAACGAATTTCGTCCGAATTGACTTTCACACCCGACTCCCGAAGAACGAAATAACACAAATCCGAATTTGAAACTAAACAAATTTTTTGGCAGTTCACATGTCTAACGGCTACTACTTATGGCTTCAATTCTAGTATAAGATGTAATAAGGGGGTTCTAATACATGTCAGCGTAATAAAAACTTGATGGTTGGTCTACTCCTGTTCAGTTAAAATTCTAGTTAGGACTGTCTCTTGGTAAAGCTCAATATGGGTTCAGTTTCACTACCCAAAACAGTAAAGATGGTGGCTCAAGTTTTAACTTCTGAGACTTTGTTTTGGGGTCATAAGGCTGCTTCTAAAATGTCATCCAGTAAAGTCTAAACTGGTAATCAAATACTGCCAACATTCCTCTAGAACCTGCTCGATACACTGAACAGTCGAGTTTCTTGTGTACAGAACAAATGGCATGAAATGCACCTTGGAAGCGTTCCTTGTGAAGGGGCACAAACCAGGAATTCTGATCCTACTGATGTTGGATGGTGTGTTGCTTCAAAGGGAAACTGACTGCCTGGCTAGCTCTAATCTCTTCACTCTTCTACACCCCAGGTCCCTGATGGTCCAATGAACTATGAGAATACTATTGAAGCTCCAAGAACCATAGAGACATGGCGGGGTTCTTCTATCACTAGGGACAGTATAATGAGGTAAGATGAGCAAACCTGCTACAAGTAATGGGAGAAGGAATGGTATCTAACCCTCTACTGTTTATCTAGGGTGACTGTGCGCTGCAGGTACACTCAGACCGGCATTGCACCGCTGGCTGTGACTGTGCATACCTTGCCGCCACCTTCTCCTGTTAGTACATCTGGCCCCCTCGAGCTGGAGATGAGGATTGCACGAGGTAAGAACATCAGTTTTTCAGAAATTGTTGCACAGAATACTAGAAGCTGGCCTACATGCTCCCACTGATCCAAGAACTTCAGTTCATATTGGTGTAATGCAAAACTCACAATGTTGTAAAGAGCACAATGTGTCCATCTGTCACTGGGGTGCCAGGACTGCAGCCTTAGCAGGACATCAAAGGGTGGCCCTTAACTTCAAGTCTGAATTTGTGACCTGTCACAATATAAAGCAACAAAACTTCAGAGCAATCAGTGAAGTTGAATGACTTTGCCTAGAACCTGAAGCTCCTCAGTTAGCTGGAGGCCGGAAGCCTTTCCTTGGTCTTCTCTTACCAGACAGCAACCAGCATGCTCCCAGTTCTGCATTTGTTTCTCTACCAGGAGAAGCAGCAACTTGTAGTCTACTGGTCCCCCAGATATGGCTTACAAGGGTCTATAGACTTGTGTAGCCATGCTTGTTGGACCAGCATTGGCACATGTTTCCATTATCAGAAGTATCTGGTATTGTCAGTCTTGGTAGATGAGAAGGTAAGGGGAATGTCCTACTGGGGCAGATCCCCAAGGCTTAAAGCTCTAAAATTCAGATTTAAGTTTTAGGTCGTGTCTTTTTCTAAACTTCCAACTCGTGGCTTTCAATGTTGTCCAGTAGCATGAAAATGGCATAAGCTCAAAGCAGTGGGTACTGTTCATTCACCTGCCATGGCTTACAGGTTAGCGAGCCTCAAATGTCTAACTTCTGCAGCTGGGGTTTGATCTTGGACAAGATTGCCCTGAATCTGTTGGTTGCTTGAGCAAAAATCTTTTGGCTCTTCATTTTTCACTCCCACCTCAAACTGTAGGGTTAGAGGTCATCTTCAATGCAGCCTATTCCACATCACTCAACTCTGTCCTCTCCATTGTCCCTGATCCCAGCTTTTTACTAGCATGTCCCATCTACAAGGGCTGCTTCATTTGGCTCATTCACTTGCCTGCTTTGAATTTCCCTCTAGCTGCAGAAAATCTGAAGCTTGGGTCAAATATACATTCAAGTTGTGTGTGGGGGAACGCTGCATAAAGTCGAATCATATATTCACATGCAAATATACGTTTGTGCTGTAATTCTTACAGTATGTTGTCTGTGTGCCGTGTAGGTTTATACTAGGACAATGAATCTTGTGCCAGCCCTCATGCCTCCGCTGGTTGGTATAAACTTGTTGCATGTAACCTGCCAGCCACCATCTAACATGGACAGCTGTGTGGTCTCTTGTGGTGGAAGGAGAAGTGAGTATTATATAAGGTCTCAGACTGACTGGTGTGACTTGCGGGGGTTTCACACCTTTCCCTTACACAAGGGACCATTGTTGGCTTGATTTGGGGAAATCTAATATGGAAACTAAGCCTAAATTGCTATTTTTAGGGAGAATGGCTGAAGAGCAGGAGCTGCTGTCTCTGAAGAACACGGTGACATCTGAAGGACCTGTTGTATTTTCTGTGGAAGATAAAGAAATGCTAAAACTGGAAGGTAATGTCTTTATGATGTTGGCTTTGTTTGGTCTCCAGTTGTGATTCCAGACTTGTAACATTTCTCATTCTTAGGTGCTGATCCCTCGCAGTACTCCACTCTGGACCTGGCTAGAGCGCTAGCAACTGCTGGAGTTATTGGCTTGGTGGCTGTCGCTGTTGTAGGCCTGTGGCTCCATCGCAGGGGACAAACTTCTAACATGAAAATGACAAATTCTTAAATAAGACTCTTAAATAAAAACATTTGCTACATTTGTGTCTCACTTTTATTAATGAAATGGCTGTAAAATATAACTTTTTGTGGCTTAACGGAAGAGTAGCTAAATATGCAGGAAAATGCAATCTGTTCAGCAAGATATGATGGGGGTGGGGTCAAATGTGGTTGCTATAGGCAGCTGTTGACATTCCTTTATATAGTTACAGCCCAGTCAATCATGTAATGGAGCCTGGAGGACTAATCTGCTCCCCGGTCAACACTGAAGCTGTCAGGAGAAACTAAAAATCTGTTCATCTATAATGTAGTTGTGAACACTCACTAATTTCCCTGTTTCCAGTAAATGGGAAAGGTTGTCACTGTCCAGTTGTGATGGCCAATTGCCATATTAAAGGGTTTTACAGGAGTGAGGAACATCTCCACTAGTCACATGTACAACATGCCACCTGGCTGTGTGTTGGACAAACATTCTGGCTGGAGGGGCTGGACTATTCTCCAACGTATGGATCGCAAGATATCAGGCCAACTAGTGAGAAGTGTTTAATATACACAAATCTTATTGTGGGGTTATATTGTACATGACTAAGGTCTGTAGTCAGGTCACTTTATAGTCACTCATGGCTTATTCCTTCTACATACACGGTTGCCTGTGATTGACTACTGAATGGAAGAATCTCCCTTTTGCTGCAGGGTACCAAATTTGTAGGTGGTGGTTAGTGTAGATTTAGGAAAGTGGTGGCCCAGCACATGAGGTTCCTTCTACTTCCACAGCCCTGGTCTGTTCTCTGTGGGCCCAAAAGGGATGAAAAGGAAATCATGGCCACCTGACAGGGTTGTGATTAAGGCATATGTGCAGGAGAACCTTACTAGGGCCATATCTTATTCTGGTGCGCAGTCCTGTTCAGGGTGAAGCTCTGCCTATTTAAGCCATGTCTGCAAAATAAATGTTATGCCACTGGGAGCTTTCTACAGGACAGAACAAGGCGGGGTGGGTGAGCAGTGTTCCTTCCCTGAAATAAAGTGTGTTCATTCACTAGGCTGTGTTGGTCTTCTTAAGACTGGCTGAACAGGAACACTGGTCCTCCGCATGTATTATAGCAAAATTGGGGTAAATTTACTTAATTTGGCTGTTTTTAGACTTGTAGAGAACCGTATTTGTCACTCCCTGGAGAAGTTCATGGCTTTGAAGTCTTCTGTGGATGGGGAAGACGAGCTGAAAGTGATCAACTGGCTAATGTTAAAGTGACATTAAACCCTCAGATTTAACAAAACAATACTGTAATGTGCGCCTTACTGTAATCCATGGTAGTTTCCCTTCTCTTTGCTGCTCTTTTTTAAATCCGTCTCTTCTCAAGCTGGGGGAGAACTTCTGTTTTGCAGCAGACTGCCTTGTCTCTGGAATGGATACATGGTGTCTGTGTGAAGGTTCACAACCTGAGCCAGCACTACAGGAAGAGGCACTCGGCTGCAACGGGAGGTTCTCCCCCAGCATGAGAAGAGATGAGGATTTAAAAGAGCAGCAAAGAGAAGGGGAACTACCATGGATGGAGTAAGGCGCACATTACAGTATCTTATGTTAAAAAATCTGAGGGTTTAATGTCACTTTAAGCTTTAATAACTGCATGCAGTTGTGATTTTGGTTTCTTGTCCCAGCTGAACATCAGACATTTACTGGGACATGTACCAATGCAAAAAAGGCCTTGGGGGTCCCCCTTAAAATCCACAGCAGACCTTTCATCCATTGGACAGTACACATTGTTTAAAAAAAAAAAAAACCCCACTGTGTACAGTTCATTTTCATGCTGTAGGCCCCCTCAAAGCACCCCTGGGACTGTTCATGGCATCCAATGGACCCAGGACATATCCCACAGGCAAGTGCTGGAACACTCATTCTAGCACCCAACAGCAACTCTATGGGAACACTGTCCGGTGGAGTGATCTCCTGTCTGACTGTACTATGTTCTAGTGATGGGAGGGTCAGACTGAATAATGGGGTGAAGCACTGACAAGGGGTTGAGGGTAGGGAGTGCCTGGCAGTTCCTGTCTAGCATTGGAAGCCGGGGGGGTTTTCTTGGCGTAGGAGTGGGGGATTCCTAAGAGGAGGCAATTCAGTCTTTGCTTCTCTCTATCTACACTCAAGATGAAAGAACATCTGGAGTGTCTATGCTTCACCAACCAGTCACTGGGAGGTTCATGGCCAGTGGTGCATGCTGGGTGGGTGCCTAAATACTCAAGTTCCTAAGAGGAGGCAATTCAGTCTTTGCTTCTCTCTCTATCCACACTCAAGATGAAAGAGCATCTGGAGTGTCTATGCTTCACCAACCAGTCACTGGGAGGTTCATGGCCAGTGGTGCATGCTGGGTGGGTGCCTAAATACTATGGGGATTTGCTATGTGCTCAGGTTGGTCTGCCCATGGGCTAAGCCTGGGGTGTGGTGCTCACATGGAGAAGCTGACTGGATCTCAAGCCTGGAGGAGGCCACATGTGGACCTAGGAGGGGTCTGGAACTGATGGTGGGAATTTAACCAAGAAGCTGGATTACTGGAGGTGCCTGGTCAACTTTATTGATCACATGACCCTTCACTGGCTAAGGATCTGCCCCGAAGAGTAAAAAAAGGCCCTCCCTGCCTTTGGGGGGCGCTACAATATATTTCTCGCACTTATTTACTAAGGAAATATCAAAAGCCATGGCCATGCGTAAACAGCAGTGATGCATGGTGGGTGGCAGAGATTGGTTATGTGCTAGTAAACGATCTACTGACACCTACGTGACCTCTCGAGATCTGTCCGGTCTTCTGCAATGGCCAAACATGAGACAATCACAGGTTACTAGTTCAGTATCAGAGCCATGCATTGGAATGACGGGTGTTACCATAAGAGATGCACCGATATCAGTGTCACCTGTACACATGTGAAAATGCCCGGAGACTAAGTGCCGATAATGGTGCTTTACATTCTGAAGTGGCTGCCTGAGATCCTGTTCATGCTGGGGACCTCAGGCAGCCTTCCTGTAAACCACGTGGCACCTGTTTACAGCACCCGCCGCACATTTTCCTGGGGAATCCCGCCCCCCATGAGACCCCACACAGCCCTCCTGAGATTCTCCACTGGAGACATCAGGCCGGCCTCCCCGAAGCAGCACAGAGTATGTAGCTTCATATTATTCTGCGTTGCTGTATAATGTATTGCTGGGATTTGTAGTCCCTCTACAGCTTGGAGTCCGCAGCCGAACTACATTGCAACAACGCCAACGACCAAGAGAAGGTCATGTGACTCTATTTCCAGTGAGATACGGGGCAAGGCTGAGCGGCCTGGGAGCCCATTTACACTGTGGTGTTTTATTGCACACATTACATGATGCTGAACGCACGTGTCCAGGTTCCCTATAATAACAATAGGACCTGTTCTCATCTCAGCACTCACTATGACGCAGTGTGCGTTTTTTCTCTGCATTTTAGTGCGTCGGGAGGCAGACAGAAGTCAATGGCAAAGCATCAAAATCTGTTGGCTCCATCCACGCCAAACATTGCAATATAGTTTGTAGTCTTTCAACTGTGGCTTACTGACAATTGATTCCTGATAGACCCCCAGCTACCCAATGTAGTGATGTCAAAGTTGTTGTTGCTGAGCTTGACTAAGGGGACCCTGCATAGCCCCAAATATGCTATTTTAGTGTCTTGATTTTTCAATAAATGGACATTTGGGGATTCCAAAAGTATTTCAGAGTGCTGGTGACGTCTATATATAGTTGTTGCTGTTGGCAGCGCCATTTGCAGTCACTGGGAGCACCCCCCCCTTCAATACTTGGATACCTGGTACGGAGTGTAGCTAAGCATCCACTTACTGGCCACGTATTTGAGCTGCTTCTTGGCAGATGTAGGCGCTGTATGATCGCTGCTCAATTAACATGAAGAATCATCTTATCCATAGTAGCCTGAGATGGTGAGTGGGGTACCAGGCGGTGTTGTCCCCAAAGGACTGATATTCTTTGGTGGGTTTCTTGCTGGTCTACCAGTCTAATTTTCTCATATATGAGCCACCGGTGTCATCTCCCATGTAATACTCGTATCTGACACTGCATTGGCTGTTCCACAATGTAATGTGGCAGCACCTGAGTCTTTCCAATCTGAGTTGTTGGTAGAAATCTCAACTTCAATATGTCTCCTGATTGCTCTGATATCTAACCCTCTACTGTTTATCTAGGGTGACTGTGCGCTGCAGGTACACTCAGACAGGCATTGCACCGCTGGCTGTGACTGTGCATACCTTGCCGCCACCTTCTCCTGTTAGTACATCTGGCCCCCTCGAGCTGGAGATGAGGATTGCACGAGGTAAGAACATCAGTGTTTAAGAAATTGTAGCACAGAATACTAGAAGCTGGCCTACATGCTTCCACTGATCCGAGAACTTCAGTTCATATTGGTGTAATGCAAAATTCCCAATGTTGTAAAGAGCACAATACTACCATCTGTCACTGGGGTGCCAAGACTGCAGACTTGGCAGGACATCAAAGGGTGGCACTTAACTTTAAGTCTTATTTATTTGGACCTGTCAGAATATAAAGTAATGAAACTTCAGAGCGATCGGCTACTCTTTAATGCAGCCTATTCAACATCGCTGAACTCAGATCCTTTCCAGTGTCCCTGATCCCAGCTTTTACTATCAAGCATAGACGCTGGGAAGCATGTCCCATCTACAAGGGCTGCTTTCTTTGGCTCATTCACCTGCATGCTCTGAATTTTCCTCTTGCTGCAGGAAATCTGAAGCTTGGGTCAAATATACATGTGTGTGGGGTAGGATTATACTAGGCCAACTTATCTTGTGCCACCCCTCATGCCCCATCTGTTGCATATAAACTTTATGTATGTAACCTGCTAGCCTTGGCATTGCACAGACAGTATGTCATGGCTAGACATCCTTACTATGGTGGTATAAGGACTTCCCCCTATTATAACTAGAAATGACAACTTGCAGGATAAGCAATGTAACTTCTCTATGTAATGCAGATCTTGGCTATGAAGCTTACTATGCTGAAGAGTATCCTCTGGTCAGAGTGCTGAGGGAACCGGTCTACCTGGAGGTCCGCATCATCCGTAGAACAGACCCAAACCTGGTCCTAGTCTTAAATGACTGCTGGGCCACCAACTCTGCTGATCCTACACTCCTTCCTCAATGGCCCATCTTGTATGACAGGTGAATGATCTGTAGCTAGTAATCTAGTATACCTTTGGTGCCGATCACAACTCTAATGTCTCCTTGTTGGTTTCAGTTGCCCTTTTTCTGTAGACAACTATGTGAGCAGCCTGATTCCTGTTGGCGCTCCTTCACCGGCTATACCTCTACCCAACTACTACAAGCGCTTCCTTGTCAACACCTTCACATTTGTAGACGCCAACACCCAGCTTGCCCTTGGAGGCCTGGTAACCCTAATACAACCTCTCGCTTTTTATGCCGGTAGTATGCTGTATTGTAACTGTATACACTTGTCTGCAGGTCTACTTTCACTGCAGTGCTTCCGTATGTGTGCCATCTAACATGGACAGCTGTGTGGTCTCTTGTGGTGGAAGGAGAAGTGAGTATTATAGAAGGTCTCAGACTATGACTGGTGTGACTTGTGGGGTTTCACACCTTTCCTTTACATAAGTTACCATTGTCGGCTTGATTTGGGGAAATCTAATACGGAAACTAAGCCTAAATTGCTATTTTTAGGGAGAATGGCTGAAGAGCAGGAGCCGCTGTCTCTGAAGAACACGGTGACATCTGAAGGACCTGTTGTATTTGTTTCTGTGGATGATGAAGAAATGCTAAAACTGGAAGGTAATGTCTTCATGATGTTGGATGTGTTTGGTGTACAGTTGTGATTCCAGACTTGTAACATTTCTCATTGTCTTAGGTGCTGATCCCTCGCAGTACTCCACTCTGGACCTGGCTAGAGCACTAGCAACTGCTGGAGTTATTGGCTTGGTGGCTGTCACTGTTGTAGGCCTGTGGCTACGTCGCAGGAGACAAACCTCTAACATGAAAGTTACAAATGCTTAAATAAGACTCTTAAATAAAAAAAAACATTTTCTACATTTTGTTTCTCACTTTTATTAATGTAATGGCTGTAAAATATCATTTTTGTGGCTTAACGGAAGAGTAGCTAAATCTGCAGAAAAATGTAATCTGTTCTGGAACATATGATGGGGGTCAAACGTGGTCGCTATAGGCAGTTGTTAACCTTCCTCTTGTATAGTTACAGCCCAGTCAATCATGTAATGGAGCCCGGATGACTAAAAATTTGCTTTCCAGCCAAAACTAAAGCTGTCGGGAGGAACTAAAAATCTTGATGGTCTCCATCTATAATCTAGTTGGGAGCACTCAATGTCCCTGTGCCCAGTAAATGGGAAAAGTTGTCACTGTCCAGTTGTGATGGTCAATCACCATAATTAAAAAAAGGGGTTTTACAGGAGTGAGGAACGTCTCCACTAGGCACATGTACAACAAGCCACCTGGCTGTGTGTTGGACAAAGCATTCTGGGTGGGGGGGGGGATGGCTCCCAAGATATCAGGCCAACTAGTGAGAAGGGTCTAAAGCATACACAAATCTTGTGGGGGTTATTGTACATGACTAAGGTCTGTACAGGTCACTTTATAGTCACTCATGGCTTATTCCTTCTACATACATGATTGACTACTGAATGGAAGAATCTCTATTTTGCTGCAGGGTACCACATTTGTAGTTGGTGGTTAGTGTAGATTTAGAAAAGTGGTGGCCCACATGTGCAGGAGACCCTTACTAGGGCCATATCCTATTTTGGTGCACAGCCCTGTTCAGGGTGAAGCTCGGCTTATTTTTGCAAAATAAATGTTACTGGGAGCTTATTTACAGCACATAAGAACAAGGGGGGGGGGGGCTGGGTGACCTTAGCACAGTGATGCCCCCAGTTCTGGGGAGATGAGCAGTGTTCTCTGAAATAAAGTGTGTCCATTCACTTGGCTGTGTTGGCCTTTAAGACTGGCTGAACAGGAACATGGGTCCTCGCATGTATTTCAGCGAAATTGGGGTAAATTTTACTTTCACTTTTCATGCTGTAGGGCCCCCTCCAAAACACCCCTGGGACTGTTCATGGCATCAAATGGACCCAGGACATATCCCGCTGGCAACTGCTGGAACACTCATTCTAGCACCCAACAGCAACTCTATGGGAACACTGTCCGGTGGAGTGATCTCCTGTCTGACTGTACTATGTTCTAGTGATGGGAGGGTCAGACTGAATAATGGGGTGAAGCACTAACAAGGGGCTGAGGGTAGGAAGTGCCTGGCAGTTCCTGTCTGGCATTGGAAGCCGGGGGGTTTTCTTGGCCTAGGAGTGGGGGGATTCCTAAGAGGAGGCAATTCAGTCTTTGCTTTTCTCTCTCGACACAAAATGGAAGAACATCTGGAGTGTCTATACTTCACCAGCCAGTCACTGGGAGGTTCATGGTGGGTGAGTGCCTAAATACTCCGGGCGTTTGCTATGTGCTCAGGTCGGTCTGCCCCTGGGCTTAGCCTGGGGGGGGGTGCTCAGAGATGGAGAAGCTGACTAGATCTCAAGCCTGGAGGAGGCCACGTGTGGACCCAGGAGCTATCTGGAACTGATGGCGGGAAGAGAAGCTTGACTACTGGAGGTGCCTGGTCAACTTTTTTGATTACATGTCTTTCACTGGCTAAGGATCTGCCCCTGAGAGAGAGGTCCTGCCTTTGGGGGTCCATCTCGGTCCTCTAGGGGGCGCTACAATATATTTTCTCTTTAAAAAGAATGCATCAAAAGCCATGGCCATGTGCAACCTGCAGTGATGCATGGTGGGTGGCAGAGATTGGTTATGTGCTAGTAAACGATCATCTGATACCTACGTGACCTCTCGGGATCTGTCCGGTCTTCTGCAATGGCCAAACATGAGACAATCACAGGTTACTAGTTCAGTCTTGATGTGGGATGAAGTCCCCTCCTGACAGTGACAGATCATCTCTGGATCCCGGTGTACTCTCCTGTCTTCATACGACTTCCACATTATCATACGGGTGTCACTATCACAATCACGGTTTTATTAATGAACCTCTGGACAAGTCTTATGGATGGTGACTGTCACAAGCCCAGGCTGAGATTACTCATCTTCCTCCGTATCAGAGCCATGCATTGGAATGACGGGTGTTACCATAAGGGATGCACCGATATCAGTGTCACGAGTACACGTGGAAATGCCCCGAGACTAAGTGCCGATAATGGTGATTTACATTCTTAAGCGGCCCCTGAGGTCCTGTGCCTGCTGGGGACCCCGGCAGCCTTCCTGTAAACCGCGTGGCACCTGTTTACAGCACCAGCCGCATATCTCCTCCTTCCTGGGGAATCCCACCGCCCATGAGACCCCGCACAGTCCTCCTGAGACCCCGCACAGCCCTCCTGAGTTTCTCCACTGGAGACATCAGGCCGGCCTCCCCGTAGCAGCACAGAGTATGTAGCTTCATATTATCCTGCGTTGCTGTATAATGTATTGCTGGGATTTGTAGTCCCTCTACAGCTTGGAGTCAGTAGCCGAACTGCATTGCAACAACGCCAACGACCAAGAGAAGGTCACGTGACTCTATTTCCAGTGAGATACGGGGCAAGGCTGAGCGGCCTGGGAGAAGAGGTGGTAACTGCCTGGACTAGGGAGCTTCTTCTTAGTAACTGGCCTTCCCCAGGGCATGGTGGATGGGTGTGAGGGTGCTCTTATGAAACTTTAGCATTCTGAAGGGCATGAGGATGTGACACTGATGATGTGTAATGGTCACAGCTTAGTTGTGTTGAATGGTCTTAATAACTAGCTAGGGCAGAGCTGTACTCTGAATGGCTAGGTGAGTGTAAGACTAAGCTTAACCTGTTCTGTCTTTTGACTGCAAGGAACATGTGTTTAAATACATGCGTTTGGAGTAGTAAATCTGCAGCACAACCCTGAATCTACTGAAATCTTGTATAGTATTTACAATCCCTACAAGTTCTCTCCATGAGAATGAGGCCTTGGGCTTGGTTCACACCATTGACTGGCCCCTTGATGGTTGCATGCTGCCAGGAATGGGATCTTTTTGGGAACCTGGTCACATTTATTACTGTGTGGGAGGGCGCTTCTCATGAGGCCTTTGTGGCTTATGGAAGGTGTTTGGGGGGTGGAAGTGCCTACCACAGGTGGCAATAACCTGATGGGTGTCTAAGATTTGAGAATGAAAGCTTGTTGCTGATTTCCATGCAAAACTGCTCCCGTTGCCTCAGCGCTGGCTTACTCTTAAAATGGGGAAATGCAGCAAAGGGAACACTAGTTGGTCTGGTTGCCTCTTTGTATGTGGTCACTGCACTTGCGATGTGGAGGCTGCTATGTGCATGGAGGAAGTTGCCAGGATATGCTGATCCTCCGGCTTCCATCTCTATTTCCTGTCCTGGGCTGTATAGAGATCAGTGAAGTCAGGGGCGTATCTGCCGCGAGGCAAACAAGGCGTTTGCCTGGAGCGGCAGATTCGCTGAGGGCGGCGTTGCTGCCTTGCCTAGGACAAAGCTGCACATCCCCCCCC